CTGAGAAGCAGTGTGTATACAGGGAAAAGGACCAGAGGCCCCAAGGCCCCAAATAGAACCTTGCCTCTAGTCATCCTGCCTCTTTGGATGACCTGCAGCAAGTTACTTGAGCTTGACGAGCCACATCCTCATCCTTGGTACCTCCAGGTTCTTCCTCCATGAATCTTACTGTGCTCAGTGGCATCATCTTGTACTCTCACAAAAGCTGTTCCTTTTCCCTGGGCTGCCCCTCTCTCTTCTTCTGGGCCAGGTCACTGCCTCCCTCAGGGACCTCCCTCTGCACCTCAGGGGAATCCTTTAAAGGTCCCGAGTAAGAACTCTACCCCAGGATGTGCTGCTGAGCCCATCACACACACCGTCTCCCTTTCCTCTGCTTTGCAGATCAGGAGACTGAGGCTCAGGAAGGTGTCATAATTTACTCCCAATAATTTGCAGACCTAGGATTCAAAGCAAGGTGACACAAAAGCCCAGGCCTTTCCCCACACTCATGCACATGCCATTTCCATCCTCTCCTTAGTGAAGAGCAATAGAGTTCATGTCTTTAAAAAAGGCAAGTTTAAAAACAGCAAAAATTAATCAGAACTTACTGTGTCTCTCCCAAGTTCTTCTCTCCAAACTACCAGCATCACAAACCTTCTCTTTTCTGGTAGAAATACTCCCTAAAACAGAATGCTTCCAGTGAACTCCAAAGACTTGGAGGAATGTGCAAGTCCATGGTCTCCTCACAGGCATCATCAGATCCTCCTGACACCTCCTGTTGGCTCAGCCAACAACTTTGTCAGTGCCAAGGACACTGATGATATCTATAGGCTCATGTGGCAACTCCATGGAGAGCACTGGGTGAAGGTCTCTGCCTCATTTCATCCTTATAATAGCTCAGGAATGTGGATGTTATTGTTCTTTGTCACTGGGAAGAGAGGGAAACCAGGGCACAGAAAGGTTGTTGGGAACATGGAAAGGTCTGGCTAATCCCAGCCATCCAGGGATCTCCCACCCTTGCTCCCTTGGTTAGTCCCTCTGCTGTGACCAGGGCACCTGTCTGGGGAACCACTGGGTCTCCTGCCAGGGGATTTGCCTCAGAGCCTCTCTCAGGGCTTTCTCTGTCCAGGGCCAGCTTGGCTGACCTTCAGTACCTCCTGGGCTGGCCCAGACCCTGGTCACATGGGCTGTGATGTTCCATTAATGTGCTGGGCAGTTTCTGAATATAGAGTCTGAGTGTGAGGTCAAGAGCCTAGGGTTCAAGTCTCTACTCTGCCACTTATTTGCTGTGCTATGACACTTGGCAAGCCACTAGTCTCTTGAGGCCTGCTAGGGACTGTCTCCTAGGTGATAGGGGAGTGCTGAGGTATCACATGGTAGGTTGTGCTAGAAGTGAGCTGCGTCAGAGTTAGGATGGGGGATGGGCAAGAAGCCTGGTCTAGGAGACTGGGCCAATTTAGGGTTGGTTAACAGAGCAAAGAAAGGGTGCTCATGCCTGTGTGGGGAACAAAGAACTTCAGCAGGCTTTGGTCCTCTCCTGTGGGCAGGATGAGGAGAAAACTTCCCCCTCTGGAATGTTCCCTTCCACCTCCCCCATGCCGCAAGACACAGACCTCTAGCATTTGGGCTGAATTAAGAGTTTCAGACGTCAGCTGCCTCTGAATCACGGCCACTTCTACCTCAGGGGAGTTTGTAGGGCTCCTATTGTGGAGAATTGCTTCACATCGTGTCCAGCTGGCTCTGGGGAACTTGGGGGTCCAGAGGAGGGGTCTCTGGGCCTCACCCTAGCTTCTCTCACAGCAATTCTCTTTATCTGCTTTACAAAGTAGGTTCCTCTTATTTCAAGCAAAGAGAGGAGTCTGCATCCTAATGGAGAAATGGAAAAAACCACCCATGTATCCAATGTTCTCATTTTACAGACTTCCAGAGAAGTCACAAACCAGACAGTGGGAGGGTGGGATTAGAACCCTGTCTGCTAGCCTCATTCATGCATGTATGTCTTCATTCACTAATTAACTCAACAAGTACACATCAAATATCTTCCTTGTGCCAGGCACTATGGTGATCAGGAAGATTCAGTGGAAGCCAAAATGGACAGGGTTCCTATACTCAGGGTTTAAAATCTGAGGAATGACATGATTAATAACAGTTCACACATTAGCACTAAATACCATATGCCAGGTGCTTTACATGCATAAACTGTCACGACAACCCTATGAGGTAAGTAAACCCCTAATTTATAGATGAGAAAATTGAAGCACATATAGGTAAAATGATATGCTTATGACCAGGCAGTTAGTAAGCAGCAGAGCTGGGATTTGAAGCTTGGCTGGGATTTGAACCTTTGCTATCTGGCTGTAGAGTATATGTTAGTTTGTACTCCACTATATAGATAAGTATAGTTTACAACCCATACTACTATTTGGGTTTTACATATGGTACCTACTGGAGATGAGGTCAGGATAGAGAGGTGCTGGCCAAGTCTTCCCTGAGGCAATGATACTTGAGTTAAAGTAGAAGGACAACATTCACAGGCAGCTGATTTTCAATACTGTTGCCAATATCATTCAGTCCTCTTCTCAACAATTGATGCTGGACCAACTGGAGATATATATGCAAAAGAATAAAGTGCCAATCCCCTACCTCACACCGTGTAAAAAAATTAACTCTAAATGTATCAAAGGCCTACCTATAAGAACCAAAGCTATAATACTTTTGGCAAAAATTTAGTTGCAAATTTTTATGACCTTGGATTAGATAGCAATTTCTTAGATATGGCATCAAAAAGTACAAATAACAGAAGAAAAACTAGATACTCTGGATATCATCAAAATTAAAAACTTTTGTGTTTCAAATAAAACCATCAAGAGAGTAGAGCCAGAATCCACAGAATGGGGAAAAAATGTAAATCATGTATCCAATAAGAGATTTGTATCTATAATATACAGTGAACACTTAAAACTCAATCATTAAGAGACAGTAATCTAATTAAAAACAAGCAAAGGTTCTAGCAATGTCTAATTAAATAATAAAAAGACAATCCAATTTAAAATGACCAAAGGTTTGTACTTTTCTCCAAAGAGATTACACAAACAGCCAATAAACACACTGGAGACACTCAATTTTATTAGCCATCTGACAAATGCAACTCTAACCACAATGAGATGCCACTTCAACCCACTACAATGGCTGTAATAAAAAAGAAAACAAAAGTGTTGATGAGAACGTGCAGAAGTTAGGACCCTCTACATTGCTGGTGACTGTGTAAATGATGCAGCCACTGTAGAAAACACCCTAGGGTGGGGCAAGTAGACAAGGAATGGGACATTGGGAAGATGCTCAATGTGAATAAAAAAGAGAGGCTGGTGCTGGGACAATAGAAAGCTCTTGGTCACTGCAGGTCACTCCATCCATCCTATGTCTACAGGGTAGCAGCTTTAAGGGCTTCTGGTCCATGTGCACAGTGTGGAGGTTGAATGAGAAAACCTCCAGCCCTTCCCCTCTCTGACTTTTGCTGGCTTCTCTGTTTCCCCTATGAACCGTGTGGCCTTACATAAGGCTTCCCCACTCTGGGCCTCAGCTGCCTCTTCTAATCCAAAGCCAGTGTTAGGCTGGAATGATCTCTGAGCTTGCACAGGAGGCCTCAGTGTTTGTTCAAGGAACATGCGAACAGATTTCGTTGCCAAGGCCCCAGCCTCTGCTCCCCTCTGAGGAGTTCGCCGTCTGGTTAGTCAGATCCTGGAGATGGACGCAGCCCAGTGGTTCCCATGGCTCCTCCCTCACCCACCTCTTCCCCCAGTACCCAGGCACTGGGGAGTAGTGGCTTCTCCTCCAGTCTTGGGGTGACAGCAGACCACAAAATGGGGCATGTGACCCTGCCCTCAGTAGCCCATGGCAGGGCAGCTCTCAGGTAGTGACCTTTTTACTTTTCTTTACAAAGTGCTGGATATCACTATCATCCAAGCCAGACTTGTGGGCTCCCAACTTCAAGCCTTGTTCTCCAGCTCCCTCTGCCCAAGGCTTTTTAAAAATCCTACTTTCTCTGATCCACTTGGCAAATTCCCACTTATTCCTCAAGGATCACCCCTTGGTATCACTGAAACTCTTGCTATGCCCCCACCTCCACGGTACCTTGTGCAGAACTTGACTGACTGGAGACCTTGACACTGAATGTGAAGCCCCCCGCAGGCAGAAAGGGAGAGTGAAAGAAGACATCTATTTTAGGTACCTGCACAAGAGCCGCCTTCCCCAGGAAGAACCCCCAGAAAAAACTTTTCATAGCCACTCAGGTCCTTGGCTTGCATCTCTATGTGACACAGCCACAGGATAACTCATCCCAATCACTTGTGCTCACACAGAACCTGAAGTGTCAAATCTGAAGGCCCTGGAGATCACACTTAATTTCACAGATGGAGAAACTGAGGCTAGAGATAAGCAGGCACTGCTGAGTGTCATTCTGCAGATGGGAACAGAGCCAGGGTTGAAGCTCCAGATCCCCATACTCTCTCCCCTGAACCCAAGGCCTCTGTCTGAGCTCAGGCCACGGGAGTGGGGCGGGTCTTGCTTCCTAGGTTGTATGCTGTATCTCTGGATCCTAGGAGCATGTCATAGGGCAGACATGCCACAGCTGCCTCGGCTGACTAAGGAGACCCCCAAAACACAAGCCCAAGTGCAACAGAGCCCAGGAACAATAGGGCAATGGGGACATAGGGATGGGGGACTTGGGACATTCAGAGACAATGCAAAGCCCTCAATGGGGCTCTGGGTTTGTGGGGCACCCACTAGGCACCCAACCCTTCCTGACCTTGTCTCTTTAAAGCTTCCTGGACCTCAGCCAGGCAGAGATTATCCTGTGACTTGACTCCTCCTCCAACACAGCTTCTCCAGCTGGGCGCTGAATTCCCAGCTTTGCTACTCAGTCTCCTGGGAACTTGTGCAAAGCCCCCAACATTCTGCTATCTCTGTTTCTTCCTTTGCAAAACAGATAGCAATGCTGTTATTTTGTAGGGTTGCTATGGGGATTAAATGAGTTAATACATGGAGATCACTCAGAACAGTGCCTGGCTCATAGTAAATGCTCACTCATGGGAAGGGACTTGTTGTGGGTCACACAGGCACATCAGCTTGCGTGTCATTCAACTCTTGTTTTCTGTGTAGGGTGGGATCTATGCTGCACTCTCATGGGCATCTTTGGCCAAAGTGACATTGACAGACAGGCTTGAGACCCCTCCAAATCCATGTAACTTGAAGGGAAAAGCACACATCTGGATGTCAGGGAAGAGGACTTGAGGCAGTCCCCCCTCTCACTGCTGGCTCACAGAGTTGCAGGGGGACTGAGAGAGTGGAGGAAGGTCTGTCCTCTGAGTCTGCTTTGTGTCTTCCCAGTGCTGGTCTTGCATCACAGGGTTGGCAGGAGAGTTTACATTTCCAAATGCCCCAGACAGTGGCTGATAAGGATGTCTCTGGTCTGGGAGCCTCATAGTGATTTTATCTGTCTAGATAGAACTGGCTGGCCTGGGCTGGAGAGAGAAAGGAGCCTTCTGGTTTCTGAGATATCTCAGAGCCAGATGCTCAGGGCTCAGGTGGGCCTGACCTCACATGGCTCTGGTACGCCCCCCGCCCACCAACCTGCATCCAGCTCCTAATATTCTTCCCTCCTCTTCCCCATCAGTGACCAGAGCCTGTCAGGGGCCTCTGAACACCCCCGCCCCCCGCCAGGATCCCTCCTTCCCACAGCATGTGAGCAGCCCAGGACAGAGCCTCCTGGGTCCTGCATAGAGCTGGATACCTTACGCTTTACATCCAGGTGGAACTCTTCTCTCCCCAGGCTCCCTGAAAATCTCCTCCTCCTCTTCTTTCTCCTTGCCAGTTAGAGACAGCGCCATCTTTGATCACTTATTTTCTCCTAAGCCTCACATACTTACCAAGCACTTACCATGTGCTGGGCACTTTAGTAAAGCCCCAAGACTCCCAAGAGAGACTGTTATGCTTCCCATTTGACACGGAGGGATTTTTCATGGAAGGGCACATAACTGGAGGGGACAGAAGAGGTTGAGAGGACTGACTCCTAGGGTGGGGCATGGAGGAGAAGGAGCTGGCCTGCACCTGCCTGGGAGTGTTGTGGAGGGCTGCAGTGGAAGAGAAGGGCTGATCCTGTTACCTGGTGCTGCGTAACAAGCCACCTCAAACTTAGTGGCTTCAAACAATAACATTTATTTTGTTCTCAAATCTGCATGACAGAGGGCATGGTTGGCTTCTGCTATACTTGACATTACCTGGGGTGGCTTGAAGTCTGGGATATGGATTTACTAGAAGATCTGTCCGTGGAAGCTGGCTGTTGGCTGAAACTTTAGCTGGGTTATTGACCAGGACATCTGCAGTGACCTCTTCATGTGGCTGGGCTTCTTCACAGTATAGTATTTGGGTCCCAAGGCCAAGTGTTCAGGGAGAGAGACAGAAAGGTAGACAGACAGACAGACAGTCGGACATATGGAAGTTGTATCATCTTCTGAGATTTAGCCTAGAAAGTTATATAGTCACTTCTGCCACATCTTATTCCAAGGGAAGGGCAACAGACCCCATGTCTCAGTGGGGAGTGACAAGGTTCCAGTATATAGAGCTGGAAATACTCCAAGGGCTATTTTTGGAAAATTATAACCAGTCACAAAGACCTCTGCTCTTGCTCTTGCCTCAGGTACCAACTGTCCCTAGATCAGCATAACTGGGAAGGTACAAAAGGGTGAAGGATTGAAGCCTTTTAACTTTAGACAGGTCACTTTATGTTTCAGAGCCTGTTTCCTCATTTGTCTAATGGAGTCGTAACATCTATGTCATAGACTTAAAAGCAACAAGGCAATCATCTCAGTTACAAGCTCAGGACAGTCTCTGGTACATCACACATGGGTCCCAGGCCACTGAGCCTCTTCCTGAACAAGACCCACTCACAGGTCTCACAGGGCTGAGCAGGTCTGCAGCTGCCTGAGGAATGGGCCTTCTGCCACTTGCCAAGGGAGGCCCTGGTTACCGCTCGCTATTCTAAACCTGTGTGGCAGCTACAGAACCACACGTAGACTTTACCATGACTTGGCCGAGCCCAGAAGACCAAGCAAACATTTCTGACAGAGGGTGAACATCTGAGGCCAAGATGGACTTAGCTTTCTCCTCAGCATCTCTAAGTTGGCTTTGGACAAAGTCATAGAGCCTCAGTTTCTGCATTTGTAAGATGGGGGTAATGGTAAACACTTTGCCCACACTTTTAGGTTACCTCCTTCCTGTAGACATTGGTCAAACACTTAACTGAGGTCAGAGGCTTAGAACTATGTCCATGGAGACTCCTGAGTCCCCCTTAACTACAGTATTTGGCCAGGGTATTTCCCATTAATTTACCTGCTTCCATGTACGGGATCCTGGTAAGACTTTATTTTGGCTCCATCATTCTATAAGGCTTGAGAGTCACTGAAGAGGGGAATAAAGATCAGTGCCCTACCCAAGCCACACAGGGAAACACCTGATGGGGACTGAGGTCTGAGGCATCTCATCCCGTCACCAGTCTGGTCCTCATCAGTAGCCCTGGGGAGGAGCCAAAGCCTCAGGCCCACCCGTCCACATTTACATGGGGCCCCAATATTCTCACTTTTGGCTCCAGGAAACCATGTTCCTCGAAGATCTGCCAGACATGCCTATGACCTAGAAGTTCTGCAATTCCCCAAGAGGAAAAGAAAGAAAAGGGAAATCAGTGTATGTCTGTGTGTGCACAAACAGCTACCTGCTATTACAGGCACTCACACATCACACGAACCACACCTGGACCCAGACACACTTCCCCCATACAATGCACCTCTACACACACTCTCACAGATCTCCAGCACACGTGTTCACCTGGGAACACACACACACATATGCATGTCACATCTGTCTGTAGTCCTACATCAAGAAGCACCTACCAAGTACACACACACCTTACACAAACATTGACACGTATTCCATACACTTCAACAGATTAACTTAAATAAACAAACATATTTATGAAAAAAGTAGAAAATATGCACACACATACACGTTTACATACACCCAATCATCATACACTTTCGTAAACAGTGTATATACTCAATATATTTGCATTATGGAAGCTTGTATACACACAGATGCTCACACAAACACATGCATGCCTGAGTGTGAAGGTATATTTTATTTACACATGCTTATATCCAATAACAACACAGATACCCAAGCATCATTATATATGTGTATGTATACATAAAATGTCTATTTTATTTTATAGACGTTATACACATAAAACACTAACACACATTATAGCCATCTGCCCCTGCCTGTACAAATCCATATACACAGACCTGTACACTGAAGGGGGCAGACACACACACACACACACACCTTACCTTTACAAGCTTACCCCTGCTGCACACTGTGTGCACACACAGCCGTTTCTGCCTCCTTTGCTGCTGAGAGATCCCACAAAGGTACAGAGACACAGACACCTAGCTCTGCTTCACCTGAAAACCCCTAGGCCCTGGATGCGTAGGAGGGTGACCAGCCGTCCTCCCTGCAGGGGGCACAGTGGAAAGTATGATCTGAGCTGACTTTTGCAAAAAGAGAAAAGGTGAGGGTTTTTCCACCCTGTTACCTAACTGTGTTGGGGGTATCAGGGCCCCTGCTGCTAACCATCCTCCAGTGGGTCCTCCCAACCACTGAGGAAATGAAAAGTACATAGCTTTAGTTTGGTGAGCAATGAATAAACTGCAGCCTGGTGCCCGCTGTGTGCAGGCCCTGCACTGAGGCTCAGGGGTAGAGAGAGGGATGGACCAGCCTGAGTGGCTCAGAGTAGGGAGGTGTGTGGGATCCTTTGGGAACACAAGGTCAAGTCTCTCAAGATGTAGTCATTTGATGACCAGCTTATCAATCGATCAATTTTCTGAATTTAACACATTTATCAAATTACAAATTTTTAAACTCAAAAGCATACATCAGTTATATTGGACAGATTAGTATTTATTTTCATTTTGTATACTTAACAGCACTTTAAGGAATGTTCAGATAGACAAAGCTAAGGGTCAGGGAGTGTTTTAGTTTTAATAAAGACACTTGATGTTTGTAAGTGGAGAGAGACTTTCCAGGGACATCCACCTGGATTGGGGCCTTTTGGGAGACATGAAGCATGACACGCTCTCTAGAACCACCTGACCCCAGGTACCATGTGGCCTGTACTTAGGTTTTTCTCTGAATTGTCCTGTGACCCGTAGCCAAGTTCCTTCTCGTACAACCTCAATCTCTCCGTGTACAAAAAGCTCATCTTTAGGGCTTTGTTGACATTTAATGAGACCCTGGAGCTACCTGTGACATCAATCCCCCATTGTAACTGGGGTCTGGGCCATGAGCACTGGAGAGGGTGTTAACTTTGTTGGAATAGAGCCTCGCTGGGAATTCAAAGCTGTTCCATTGGTGCCTTTATCTGAATTGTGACATTTCTGTGTCCTGTGCTCCCCTCAAGCAGAAGGGCCTCAAATGCTGTGTGAGGAGAGAATAGACTGCAGAGGGTGGGGCCCAACTCACTTTCCTTTCCTGGTAATAAGTTTGCTAAACTCATTTCCTTTTTTTTCTGAAGGGAAATGCCATTAACATCACACAACTGTATTCTCAGCGAGGCCAGATGAGAACTCGTGATCCCTTGGCAAGCAAGAAGGATGTATGCCTGCGCTAGACACAAATCTGTCCCAGGATAGATTTGCAAAACCTCTGATTCCCTCCATTTAGAGATGAGGCCTCCTAGGTCAGAGAAGAGCAGAGACTTGGCCTAGGGTCCGTAGCTGACAACAGCACTAAGGCCAGAATTCAGGCCCTGACTCCCAGCCAGGGCTCTAGATGGAGCTCCCTCCCCAGCCCATCTTAACAGCTCCAATATCCACTCAGTTGCCCAAGCCACAGACTGGCCTCCACCTGAATTCCTCCCTCCCTAACACCCTTCTTGCAGCAATACACATAGAGTCTCCTGGGTCTGTCCCAGGCTACTCCCAAGCCTGGGCCTCCTTGTCCCTTTCTGGGGGACACCCAGACTGGGCCCAGATTTACCCACACATATCCAGTCTATCCTCCAGTCCGTCCTCTGCCTAGCTGCCTAGGTGACATCACTAAGGAGAGTGACGATGGCACTCCCCAGCTGTACCTCCTCCAGGACTCCACCGTCCTCTCAGCCACTGTCCCTGTGGGGCCCTTTGCTCCTCTGTCCAGAGGCTGTAGCTGTCCTTGGACTGTGCAACCTTTTTGTATTTGTTCCCGCTGTTTCCTCTGCCTGGAGCTGCTCCCTGGCCTGCCCATCCCTGCTCCTGTCACTCCTGGGGAAAGCTCAGCCCTTCCACATCCCCCTTCCTGACCCCTGCCTTGGAAGGAACTGATCTCTCTAGCGTGTGTCTAAGTCTTCCCCCGCTTCCTTCAGAGTAGCAAAGACATTTTATTGTGGAAAATTTCAAACACACAACAAAAATAGAATATTACTAAGGACTCACATAGTCCTCACTTGGTTTTGACTCACACTGATTTACAATGTCTCCCACGCTGGATTATTTGCAGCAATTCCAAAATATCAAAACATCAAGTAATTTATCCACAAATATTTTAGTCTGTATTCATTTTTTCTGTACTCAGCATTGAACTGAGCTACATCTCTAGCTCTTTTTATTTTTAGACAGGGGTCTCACTAAGTTGCTCAGGCAGGTCTTGAACTTTTGAGCCTCTTGCCTCAGCCAATGTATTGGTGGGATTACAGGCATGTCACCATAGTCCTCTTGTACTCTGTATTTCTACAAGATAAATGCATCATAGCAATAGGGAAGAAGTCCAAGGGAAAAAGCATGATGGGTGAGGAGAAGTGGAAGGGGAAATTAGAATAAAGATATGGCATGTACAGGAACCTAATAACCCCAATTAATGTAAACATTATAAGCCATAACATGTGCTATGATTAATAAAATTAATAAAAATGAGAAATAGGATAGAGGAATTGGAAGAAGAAGGAAGGGGAAAGAGATTTTAAAAAGAAACAATCTGTAGTATGTAATCTCTCTCCAAGATAATTCTAAACTACATGAACTGCAAAAATGTACAGTACTAAACAACAAAAAAAGAATACTATTACCTAAATTCTTAATAGTTTTAAAAAAATCATTAAGTATCCAGAAATGTTTAAATTTCTTCAATGGTCTCATAAAAAGTCTTAAAGTTAGTTTGCTCAAAATTAGGATCCACCCAAGCTCCTAGGGCAGAGAAGGTGAGCCGCATGGGTGCCAGGAACACCCTCCCCCGCCATGAAGACACATAAACAAGCCTCAAAAACAGACTTCTGGATCACCTACAGCAACCCCAAAAGGAAATGAGATGGAACAATCTGATACTCAACCACCTGGACTCTCTGAACTTGCAACAAAAGAGGATCTGGGAAAAAT